TCTTTTATCTCTCCTCCCCCAAGAGATTTTTTTAATTAGACATTGCACGGCAAAGAAATCAAACCCCTTTGCCATTAACCAAGCCATATTCCAGTCCTAGATTGCCACCTGATAGATACTGCTTAACTATAGGCTTAAGTCTTTACCAAAAAAAGGCATATACATCTGCAGAAAGAATAACTGTTCTATGGTTAAGGGTTGGTTCAGTTACTAGCAGACCAAGTATTCCCACAATAGGCACACTAACCCCACAAACCATGTCTGCTTCAGCTAAGGTAGGGACTCCAATGTCCCTCACAGGGCAAAGGTTTACAGTACAGATGTCTACGTCACAGTCCCCAGCTGTGAAAGCATCAATTCCTGCAACATCAGCAGTTCAGAATGTTATGATTAACCCATCATTAATTGAGTCCAAAAATCATTCTTATTGCCACTAATACGGTGTCACACAAAATAATACTAATGAATCATCAAGTGTATTGAAAAGAAAATATGAAGATGATGATGACGATGAGGATAATGATGACTACTACGATCATTTGTACTCTAGCCCTCATGTACATAATGTGTATACTTGGTCTTGAATCTATTGTATTGAAATTAGAAATGTATGCTGAATGTTTTCAAACTGTTTTAGAAAACTCAAATAGTATTTAATGAATAAATATATAGTTAAGTATTCTTTCACATTGAAATGTTGAATTTTCTTTCATAGGATTAACTAATAGTTTTTCATCAGCCTTCAAATGTAAAAAATAAAGTTCTTCATCCATCAGATGACCAGAAACCATCACAGAGGCACAAGAAATATGAGAAACCCAAACAATATCTCTCCTCTAAAGGAAAGGAATAACTCTTCTTCCTCCACAGAGATTACAAGGGAACTCATGGAAATGTCAGATAAAGAATTTAGAATATTCATAGTGACAAAGCTAATAGAGCTGCAAGAGATTAGAGATAACAAACTCCAGAAGATGCCGGAGAAAAGAGACACCAAGTTCCAGGAGGTGAGGAAGTTCTTGCACAATCTGAAAGAGGAGATATACATCATAAAAAGAATCATATGTAATTGTCAGAGATGAAGGCTGTAATACACGAAATCAAAACTTCCATTGAAAATATCAAAAGCAGATTAGATCATGCAGAAGATTGAATCTCAGATGTAGAAAATAGAATCTCTGACCTAGAAAAATTCACCAAAAAGACTGAGAAAATAACCCCCAAAAAGAGAATAACATACAAGTAATACTAGATACTATTAAACGCCCAAACATCTGAATCATCAGTATCCCAGAAGGTGAAGAAAATAATAAGGGCGTTGATAATCTACTCCATGAAATCCTGGAAGAAAATTTCCAAATATAGAGAGGCACTCAAATATCCAGACCCAAGAAATACAAAGCACCCCACATAGAATCAACCCAAGAAGATCTTCCCCAAGGTATATCATAGCCAGGTTGACCAAAACCACTGAGACAAGATGCTAACATTGTCAAGAGAGACACATCAAGTTATTTTCAAAGGATATTCCATAAGTTTAACATCAGATTGCTCATCAGAAACAATGCAATCAAGGTAAGAATGGGAAAATATAGTCAGAGTGTTAATTGAAAAACAATTTCAACCAAGAACACTATACTCAGCAAGATTATCTTTCATATGGGAAAAAAAGATAAAACATTCTCAGATAAACAAAACCTGAAAGAATTTACCAACACCAGCCCAGCTCTCCAAGAAGGGCTAAAGGGAATGCTATACCAGGAAAACTAAAATCAGACACACAGAAATAAGAGTAAAGAAACAACTAAGAAAATGGTCAGCCTAATGGTAGGGACAAGTCCAGAGTGGAATGTTAACTTCCAGAGTTTAAATGGAAATATAAGACCACAGAAACACTGCAAATTCAATGAAAGATTAATTACATGAGTCTGAACTAGTAAAACAGGATATTTTTTATTTTATTACTGATTTTATTTGATGCTTTGATTTTCATATTTAAGGATTTTTGGGGACCAGCAGTTGGTGTAATGGCTATGTCGCTGGACTCCCATGTAGTCGACCGTAGAGCCGGTGGTTTAAACTCTCACCGGGCACCTATGTGTGCATTCCCAAGATCCCAAGAGAAGAATGGAGGAAAAGGGATTGCGGTATGGCCATACCCCCTGGGGGGCAGGGGGTGATTTCTTGTTTTCTTTTCTTTTCTTTTCTTTTTTTTTTTTTACATTTTAACAGAATTTATTGGTTTTGAGTGCTGTGGTTGGGCTTTGGAAGAGCTTTGGATTCCTCTAGTCTTGCTTTGGGGCTGCTGCAGCTGCAGCTTTTAAGGCCCTTTGTTGCTTCTTCAGCTTCTGAACCTCCTGGAAAACCTAAATGCACAGAGCCTTCTTGGTCATGAAGCAGCGGTGGGCTGTTCGGTAGTACAACGGGGGGTGGGGTGGGGGTGTACTCTATTCCCAACTCCCTGCATATCTTCTCGAAGACATCGTAGTTGGTTGGTATTCGGGAGGTTTTTGAGCATCTTTTTCCCCTGGTCAATGCTCATCAGCAGATAGCGTTTGTGGGCTTTGTCCTTTCGGTGTTTCTGCATGCGTTTTTCATAATTGCGGATCTTGATGGTCAAGGCAACAATTCGAGCCTTCAGGGAGCTGGTGTCCTCAGGTTTGCCACCACCTTGTTCATCAGCTGTTCTTGGTGGATTTTTAGCTTTTCTTTCTGGTTGGCCATATCCAGAGACAAGAGTCTTTTCACAACATCATCAACTTTCTCAATTCCAGGGAGTTCTGGTAGTCTTTGAGCAGCGTGGAAGATGGCAGGCCGGACTGGTTTCTGGATGGCATATCCGCAGGTGGCCTGGAGGAGACTTTGAGACTGCAGGCCCCACTGGTTAGGAGAAAGCCTGAAGCTCCCTCCTCCCGGAAGCCCCAGGACCAGGGCCTGGGTTACTGCTTGGGGCCGAATCAAACTCAGCACCCTCCATGCGGCCCTCAGCATGATGACTTCTTTTTTTTTTTTTTTTTCACTATAGGGCGCGTGCACTCGCCATACAGACAGAGAGAGACATAGAGACAGAAAGCGAGAAATCACCCCCAGGGGGGATGGTCATGCCGCAATCCCTTCTCCTCCATTCTCCTCTCAGGATCTTGGGCACGCACGCACACGCGCCCGGCGTGAGTTTTAAGCCACCGGGTCTGAGACGCGAACCGCGGTCGACTACGTGGGAGTCCAGCGACATAGCCATTACGCTAACTGTTGGTTCCCATGCATGATGACTTCTGACCTCCGCCGTCCCCTTCGCTGTCAGACTGGATTACATGGGCGCAGCCATCCTGGTTCCATTTCTTGTTTTCTGTCTCTCTGTTTCTCTCTGTCTTTCCAGCAAGCACAGGAGCCCTATAGCAAAAACCTAAAAAAAAAATAAATAAATAAAAAGGATTTTTGTCTTCTCTTGAACTGTTGATAGGTTCGTCTACCTACTATTTGAACTGAATCCTAACCCTTTTCCTGGCTTTAAGTTTAAAGCAAATTTCTCTTCACAGTTTTTGATTTTGATCTATTAAAACTAAAACTTTTTAAAAAATTAAAAAATGCATTAAAAATACCTATTAACACCTATTTAATGACTACAGTAAGCTATATATTCCCAGCAAGACGCTACTTTATAGTATGTTCACTTTACTCACTGAGGTTTATGCCTAAAGTCAGACATATGCTCATAAATATGTATTTATCAGCTGTGCTAGTTATTGAAAGTGTTTAAATTAATTAAGATCGTTAGTGAATCAATCAAATATGAAAAAATAAAAAGGCATGGAAAACAACTGTATATACCAGACACAGTGTGGGAGAAGGGGAGAGTTGGTAAAGGGTGAGAGGTAGAGAATCAAGGGGGGGGTTAAAAAAAGCAAAATTTATAAGAAACAAGAGATAGAAAATTATTTGTCAATGATAATATGTATGGTAATATCCTTGATTGAGCCAATATATAATGTATGCTGGATAGAAAATCTCACTTTGTGTACTGTATTGATGTATAGTGAATGACTATAAATTAATTAATTTATTAATTTTTAAAAGTTCTTAATTAATTTTGAATAAAAGAAAATCAATTGAACTCACCATATTAACAGAGAAAAGCAAACCGAAAACAACATGATATTTTCACCTCAACATTTGCAGGAAAAATATTCTACAGCTAATATACTTAATCGTGAAAAGACTGAATGTTTCTTCCTAAGATTAATAAAAAGGCAAACATGTAAATTATCATGATTTCAATTCAGTGTTGTTCTAAACATATCTTAAGACAAGAAAAAAAATGTGTCCAGATTGGAAAGGAAATAAATCTCTAATTGAAGACAAAATAATTCCAAGTAGAAAATTCTACAGAACCGGGACTAGCAGTTAGCATAATGACTATGTCGCTGGACTCCCATGTAGTCCACCACAGTTTGCGTCCTGGACCCGGTGGCTTAAACTCACGCCAGGCGCGTGGGCTTGCGTGCCTGCTCAAGATCCCGAGAAGAAAATGGAGGAGAAGGAATTGAGGCGTGGCCATCCCTCCTGGGGGTGATTTCTTGCCTTCTGTCTCTCTCTGTCTCTCTCTGTCTGGCTAGTGCACGCACACTATAGCAAAAACCTCTTCCAAAGAAAAGAAAAGAAAAGAAAATTCTACAGAACTGACTCCCCCAAAAGAAGCTTTTAGAACTAATGAGTTCAATAAGGTTGAAAAGTAAAAATCAATATACAAAAAAAAAAAAAATTGCATTTCTACAGCATTTGGGGAGTTTGATAGCTTTTTGTTTGTTTTTCTGTGGTTATAGGGTACATGCGCTCACTACAGAGAGACAGAGAGAGAGAAATGGAGAAATCACCCCCCAAGGGAGAATGGCCCTGCTGCAATCTCTCCTCCATTCTCCTCTTGAAATTTTGGGCACACACTCGAGATTTTCAAACTACTGGGTCTGAGACTAGAACTATGGTCAACTAGTGGGAATCCAGCAAAAAATGTGGAATACTTTACAAATTTGCATGTCATCCTTGTTCAGGGGCCATGCTAATCTTCTCTGTATTGTTTCCATTTTAGTATATGTGCTGCCAAAGCAAACACTGTATTTCTATTTCAAAACTGAAAAATTAAAAACCCATCAGTCACGGTAGCATTAAAAACATGACTTAGAAATAAATTTGACAAAAGACCTGTAAGACCTCTATACTGAAAACTAAGAAACATTGTTAAGACAAACTGAAGGAGACCAAAATAAATGGAAAGATATACCATATTAGGGTAGGAAATCTCAATATTGTTGAAATAGCAATTCTTGGGCCAGCAGGATGTTAAGGCATCTGTATCCTACATGGCCAACTGTGCGGTTTGAGTCCTGGATCCAGCGACTTTAAAAACACTTTGGTGAGTGTGTGTGTGTGTGTGTGTGTGTGTGTGTGTGTGTGTGCGCGCGCACACAAAATTCCAAGAAGAAAATGAAGGAGAAGGGATTGTGGGGTAGTCATTCCCCCAAGAGGTAATTTCTCTCTCTCACCCCAGCCCCAGCAAATGCACAGGCTCGATTGCCAACTAAAAAAAAAAAAAAAAATCAATTCTTTACAAACTGACCTATATCTAACACAAAATCAAAACAGGTAGAGAACAGAGAAATGAACAATTCTGAGAGTCCTTGTTTCTCCCATCAGGAAATCAACTTACAACATGGAAAGCGAAACTTTCAGTTTAAAAATTACCATCTTTCATAAAGTCTTTTCTTCACTTGGACACCATTGAGGATTTAATATCACTTTAGAAAAGAAATGTTTATTTGAAGTTCAGTAATTTTTTCCATTTTTAGTATTTTTTTCTTTTAAATATTAAATTTAATCATTGTGTTTTTAACAAGCATGTATAACAAATATGTTTATTTCTATCTTACTACATGAATATATTCATGGAAAGATGTTCACCTAATGTTAGTGAGGTTTATTTCTAAACGGCGAGATTTTGAGATAATTATTAACTTTCTTTATAGCTTCCCACATTGTTTCACTTCCTATTAAACATGGCAGAGAGTCTCCCTCTCTCTTCCAAAAATGTCAGAAAGGTTGGGCCAACATCATGGGCCAGATACCATGTAGCCAATAGAATTGGTCAAGTCTTGGACCCAATGGCTTAAGGAACATGCTGGGTGTATGTGTGTGTGTGTGTGTGGCCAAAATCCTGAAAGGAGGGAGAGAAAGGGGAAATAATTACAGCTAACCATTCTCTATGAGAGGTTCTTCCTCTCCTCTCTCTCTGTATGTCTGCCTCTATCTGGTGAGCACATGCACCCTGTAACAGACACACACACACACACACACACACACACACACACAGGGGCACACACACACACACACAGAAAAAAGAAAAAGAAAAAAGGGTTTTTTTTTTTTTTTTTAAACAAGGGCATAAACTCAAAAGACCTAAAAGCTTGGGGCAAGGGTGAGTGGGACCAGTCCATGACTGTTGGTTATGTGAACTGGATCCCTCATAGCTGAATTTTTTTAAAGAAAAAAGCTCAACGGGGGACACATCTATAGCAACCAGAGAGTAGTGCAACAGTAGGAAACGATGCTCTGCTCTGTAAGGCTGAACCACACAGAAAGGTTTCAGGTTCATGAACAGAGACCTCCTTGAATACACCAGGCTCATTTATGTCCATGATCCAGGGCTAATTGAGGCCAATGGTGCTTCACAGCATCAAGACTCTGTTTGGGGGTGCCATTTCTCTCTCTTCCCCTCTCTCTCATTCATGGAAGAAATTTAAAAATTTTTGAAAAAAGACATGTCAACAAAATTTTAGAAGCTATAAAATGAATAGACTAGAAATAACTAACTTCAGAGACCTGAAAAAGCCAAAAAAAAATCTATGCCTGAAGATGTCTATGTGTTGCGGGGTGGAGTGGGGTTATTAAATCCAGATAGAAGCAAGTTTAATTTTGCTGTAGGACCCTGAAATGGCTCTTAAATTTAAGGCACAAGAATCTGTGAAGGAAGGGTAAGTGTAGTGTTGAAAACTGGAGAATCAGTTGAATTATAGGAGAAAGGTAATTTCTAGAACCCTTCTTTGATTTCACGTACTCTCAATCAGTGGTATCAAAGTACAGTCCCTGAGGAGAGCAATTGGAAATTACAAATGCAAATTCTCACACTTCACCCAAGACATAGTAGCCTGAATCTGAACCTTTAGAGAGAGGGCCTACCAACCTGTTTTAACAAACTGTCCGTGTGACTCTGCTGTGTGTGCCAGCACTTAAGAATCAAGAAAATTAAAGGGTATTAATTATCTAGAAAGTCTGAGCCAGAAAAAAGATGGACTCAGACAACAGGCATAGCTAAAATTGTTACTAATCTACTGAAAACAAGTGGAGTGAGTGAAAACAGACTTACTGCAAGAAGTACATTCAGCTCCTAAGCCCCATCAGGTCCCAGAAGGTTGACTTCCAGGGTTTCATTCCTTAGAGAGATTAAACCATCACTCTCCAAAGTCATGTCCACAAGCTAGTATTTATTACTGGTCCTTAATAAGATAAGGAATTTGTACCCCAAAAAATCAACTGTGTCACTAAGTGTGTTGGTAATTCAGCTTACCTCTTTTTTTATTTTTCCCTTGTCATTGCAAGATTTTTTCAATGAAGGGGACAGTACATTGATTTACATTCTTGTGTAAGCATTTTATTTCATCATGGACAGCACTTAGAACGGTATTAGGAAACTTCCCTCTGAAGAAATTAACTAGCAATCTGAACTGTGTCTGATATCCTTACATTAAAGTCCACCAGTTGGACAAGTCCTAAATATGCTAAGATTTGAGTGAGCATTTTTATCTTTAATTCTTAAATACTAAAGAACAGCCAAAACTCATCAGTCCTTTGAGGACAGTCTCTAACATGAAAGAGGCCAAAAGAAATCATCAAAAGGAACTAGGAGAAAATTGAGACATAATTTAACAGTCTCAAAAAGATAAAAAATAGCATCAGTGAAATAAGACCATCAAGCTGTTTTTAAAAAGCATATTACATCCATGGCCAGCAGTGGTAGCACAGTGATAATACATGCAACGTTCTGCAATGTTGAGGCAACACGGGAATAGAGTGTGCATACATGCCTGTGTGCGTGAAAGAAAAACACTCAGCAGAGTATCATCACATCACAGTGCCCTTTCTCCAGCCCTCCAGCTTCTCCGAATCTTGGATACCTATGTATGCACTGACTTGTTTTCAAGCTGCCCCTGGAATTTGACCCCATGGTTGGCCATGTGGCTTCCCGCATCGCAGGGCACTTGTGTTACTGCTACATCACAGCAGCTGGGCCAAAATAGTGTTTTATCATCTTCACAAGAAAGGTGGAAATTGTAATAAAAAATTACTGCATGGGCTGGCAAGTGCCATGGTGGTTAAAGGCGCTGGATTCCCACATGGCTGACCACGGTTCAAGTCTCGGACCTGGTGGCTTGCTTTCTCACTTCCTCTCTCTCTCTCTCTGTCTGTCTCTGCTCACACTGAAAAATAATAATGATAATAATAATAAATAAAGTTAAAATAAAATAATTCTTAAAAAAAATTACTGCAAAGTATATAGAGACCTGAAAGGATAAGGAATGTAGGGCAAGTCTTTTAGGCTGAAAATTCTCAGAGCATAAATATTAAAAAATAATAATTATTATAGGAATTGGCCCCATAGCCTAGTGGTTAAGGGAGCCAATTCCCATATGGCCAAGTTCAAATTCCAACCCCAGGGACTTGAAACCACCCTGGGTGCATGAGCATGTAGACCCAAAATCTTTTTTTTTCTTTTTTTGAAGAGGTTTTTGCTATACGGTGCGTGCGCTCGCCAGACAGACAGAGAGAGACAGAGAGACAGAAAGTAAGAAATCACCCCCCAGGGAGGATGACCACACCACAATCCCTTCTCCTCCATTCTCCTCTCGGGATCTTGGGCATGCACGCACACGCGCCCGGTGTGAGTTTTAAGCCACTGGGTTCAGGACTCGAACCGCTGTTGACTACATGGGAGTCTAGCGACATAGCCATTACGTTAATTGCTGGTCCCAAAAGTCTTAACAGGATGGAAAAATGGAGAAGAGATGGCAGCATGCGACCACGTCCCATGGAAAGTGCTTACTTTCTCTCCTTTTCTCTCTCTCTTTCTCTTTCTCTCTCTGGTGAGCACCTGAACCCTCTGTCAATTAAAATAAAAAAAAGAATTATGGAATATGAGGATTTTCTTTAGAAACTTTCTTCCTAAAGACAGATTGTTATGAAATACATTCCACAAATGCTGTCAGGTATAGCAACAATCAGTGTTTTCCCCAAGCATTCACTCAGCCAGTGATTTCAACATTCAAGACAAAACCTGCTTAAGCTAAAATATGCCAAAAACAATAATAACACAAGAATAAAAATAAACAATAATTGAGCAGCTAACTGCTAACAAACAAGTATGGTGCTGAACTTGAGCCAGCAAGTGACATGGTGGTTGGGGAGCTGGACTTCCACATGGTCAACTGCTGCTGGACTCTTGGACTAAGTGGCTTGAAATTCATGCTGGGCAAGTGTGCCTCAGTGTCCAAAATCCCAGGAGGAGAATGGAGGAGAAAGGACTGTGGCGTGGCCATTCCCGTTGGGGGTGATTTCTCACTTTCTCTCCCTCTCTTTCTGGCAAGCACATGTACCCTATGACGAAAACCTTCAAAAAAAAGATGAATAATTTAAGGAAGTGGGAGAAACTGGATTTAAACTTAGATTCAAAAGTCTAAGCTCTTATAAAGTCCAATATATTGAAAAAGTGGCGGGAAGTCCGTACTGGGCAGGAGGTGAGCGGTCTGCAGGTTGGGCAACAGTGCCTCATATAAAAGCAGCTCAAGCTGGAAGACAGGGCCCTACAAGGAGGCGTCTTGCAGAACAGTTTGCAGCTGAGGAGATAATAACTGGCATGGCAAAAAAAAAAAAAAGAAAGAAAGAAAATTGGAAACTTGGATTACCCATTGGCCAAGGTGGCTTTCGTTGTATTTATCTTGCTGATAAGAATTCTTCAAAATCGGTCAGCAGGGATACACCCTGTGTTGTAAAAGTGGAACCCAG